AGATTACGGTTCAACCCTAGACCCTGCACCCTAAACCCTACAACCTAAACCCTAAACCCTAAACCCTAAACCCGAAACCCTAAACCCTAAACCCTCAACCCTACACCCTAACAGCAACCCAGAAACGGGTCCACGATCCCCATGACACTACGGCGCCATCAGCTCGGATCGCAGTGAAGGCCGATGAGGAAGATACCTTCGGGGGCACATGAGCTCGACAAAGTGGTTTAGGGTTTAGGGTTTAGGGTTTAGGGTTTGGGGTTTAGGGTTTGGGGTTTAGGGTTTAGGGTTTCGGGTTTAGGGTTTAACTAGAGTTTAGGGTTGAGGGCTTAGGGGGATCATGTATCCCATACCTGCGACCCTAAACCCCCCTTAGACTCGACCTAACAGGGACCACATGAACCCACACAATTTGGATCATGTGCTTCTTCTACCTAAACCCTAAACCCTAAACCCTAACCCCTAAACCCTAAACCCTAAACCTCTAAGAGGCACGATGTGCGTGACGCCTTTGAGGTGCTCCTTCACTGCCGAGGAGTCGCCGCCGAAACCAGCATTCCCCCATGCAACAACCTGGGTTTAGGGTTTAGGGTTTAGGGTGTAGGGTATAGGGTATAGGGTTTAGGGTTTAGGGTCCTCAACCCTATACGCATTTTCCTAAGTATTCTACAGGGGACGCAAAAAGGGAACCACGCAAATGGAGAGAACTACCCAAGGAAGCACTACCCAATTAAGATACTGTGAATGCCACTAAGGACAATCGAAAAATATCCCTAAACCCTATACCCTAAACCCTAAACCCTAACCCCTAAACCCTAAACCCCAACTAACCCTAATCCCAAGGTGCTGCCTGGCAACAGACCCATCACCCCGCAGTGCTGCAAATGCGGAGATTGTGGAGTGGATGCACCTTTTGGCGATCCAATGAACTCTAAAAGGGCTAGGGTTTATGGTTTAGGGTTTAGGGTTTAGGGGGGTTTGGGGTTTAGGGGGGTTTAGGGTTTAGGGGGGGTTTAGGGTTTAGGGTTTAGGGATTAGGGTTTAGGGTTTAGGCTCTAGGGTTCAGGGCTTAATATACCACAATAGAGTATACAGGGGTATATAACCCCAATCGTAATGTTCATCTTGCTCCCCAAGGCACTTGACATCCGTCAGCTGTGCTTGGACGGCGTGGCGGTAGTCTTAGCTTCTCCAATAACAAGGAAACGGTTGAACTTCACTATTCCTCCTAAACAAGCAAACCAAGCCCTAAACCCTAAACCCTAAACTCTAAACCCTAAACTGGCTGAGTAAGCAGCTGAACTGCCGACCATGGAGATGATCTCTCCAAGTAACAACCTTAGGTCTTCAGTGACCCAGGGAGCAAAAAAAACAGCCCTAAACCCTAAACCCTAAACCCTAAACCCTAAATCCTAAATCCTAAACCCTAAACCCTAAACCCTAGACCCTGATATGGGGGTTTCCGAAAATAAGGGTGCCTTCTTGGGGCCCTTGTTACAAGGGGTTCCCTTATTTTCGTACCCCCCCCCCGCTCCCCCACAATATAGGGAACCCAGACCCACAAAAAGTAAACCAAAATCATACTACTCAACATACATACTTTTGGGCTACTGACCTAATATTCTAGGGAACCCAGAACCCACAAACAGTAGAAATCATACTACTCGCAGCCTTTCAGCAGACCCGTCGGATTGCATTGCAGCCACCCCTTCGTTGTTGACCTGATTTCTCCAAGCAACTCGGGAGAAGGAAGTTTAGGGTTCAGGGTTTAGGGTTCAGGGTTTAGGGTTTAGGGGTTAGGGTTTAGGGCCGGTTAAACTTTGATCTTTCCCAGACCCTCCTTGCAAGTTGCAAGTAGCCATGAGGTGCGGCTGCGTGCATTAGAAACTAGGTTAAGTCCATTAAGCTGTATCCATAGAGAAAGGAAGGTCCATTCACTAAACAAAAAATGCAACTTGTGGCCAAGTTAGTGGCTTGGAGTTGCACCACGTTGGTCAGGCCGCGCAGGCCGCGTCGCGGCGACACGGCAGCAGGATCGCCCCAAAACCGCACAGATCCAGAATGTGAATACAGGGCAATTCCTTACTGGTTAGGGTGTAGGGCTTAGGGATTAGGGATTAGGGTTTAGGGTTTAGATCCAGAATGTGAAGACAGGGCAATTCCTTACTGGCTGAGGTAAAAGAAATGGATTCACAGCGGTTCTTAGGGGTTGTCAAGTGATTTTCGGTTTTGGGAGGTCTTAGGCTCAGGGGTTCAGAGTCTATGTCTTTAGGCTGGCTGAGCAGCCTAGGCGAAACAGGATTTAGGGTTTAGGGTTTAGAGTTTAGGGTTTAGGGTTTAGGGTTTAGGGTTTAGGGTTTGGGGTTGGAGGGCTTCAGCACCAAAGCAAGGTTGGTTTGAGGCAGAATGTCAAGGGTTTAGGGTAAACCCTAAACCCTAAACCCTAAACCCTAAACCCTAAACCCCAAACCCTGTTGGGTTTACAAAGGGTCTGCAGCAGAGACTCCTTTGTTGGAAAGCGCCTGAATGCGGGATGCACAATTCGGCACATGCATGCACCGGAAGCCGTGAAGAGTTCGCAGAAGAAGGGCCACATGCCTAGGCTGGCGCGGGTTTAGGGTTTAGGGTTTAGGGTTTGGGGGTCTGGGGGTTTAGGGCTAAGGGCTTAGGGTTTAGGTACCTTTATAATTTCGGGTCCTTATTATGAGAGGATCCCACTAGTTGGGGTCCCCTATCATCGTACACCCCCACATAGTGCTGGCTTTTGCAGATCATCTTAACGAAGGTCAACTTCAACCCAGGAAAGGAAACAATGAAATGTTGCACCCACGGCCTGGGCCCTAAACCCAAAACCCAAAACCCCTAAACCCTAAACCCAAAACCCAAAACCCAAAAACCCAAAACCCCTAACCCTAAACCCTAAACCCTAAATCCCAAACCCTAAACCCCAAACCCTAAAACCTAAACCCTAAGAAAGGAAATATATGAAAGGTCGCACCAAGGGCCTAGATGCCCCTGTGGGCTGGTAGCAGCCCACCGATCCCCCGAGACCTGGAAATCGTCGATGGTCTCTAAGCCGGTCTCGAAGATGCCCTCAGGTGGTCCTTCGTTGCCTGGGATGGGCTTCGACAACATTCGGGTTTAGGGTTTAGGGTTTAGGGTTTTGGGTTTTGGGTTTAGGGTTTAGGGCTAAATCGTGAAGGGACAGTCTGGTTGTCATTCTGCTTGTATGTTTCCCTGTTTGGGGATTCCCTTCGGCCAGTCCAAGTTGCCCATGTCATCGTGCCTCCCCCAGCAGACAATCCTGCCGGAGGCCTTGACGGCCACGAATCCAGATGCATGGCTTGCAAGTTGCAGTACATCCCGCAGCTCCTCTGAGGGCTTAGGGGGTTAGGGGCTCAGGGGGTTAGGGCTTAGGGTTTAGGGTTTAGGGTTTAGGGTTTAGGGTTTAGGGTTTAGGGTTTAGGGTTTAGGGTTTAGGGTTTAGGGTTTAGGGTTTAGGGTTGTACTTATAACTGTACTTAGAACCATATTCGGGCACTTAAGGGGCTTACAAGTGGGTTGTAAGTCCAGTGATAGTTGGATAATAAGTACCATGTGAACCACCAAGTAGCTCCTCTTGAAAAGCTCGACTGTCACCCCCGGCGCCGTGATATCCCCACGTGGCCACCGAGCCGTCCATGCGAAGCGCAGCAAAGGCAGAGGTACTACTTCTTACCAGCTTCACGGCATGCAGCTCGCTGCTCACTGCCCCACAGCAACCACCTTCTGCCTGGCGGTTCATGGTACTTATTGATGAATGATAACTGTACTACTTACAACCCACTGATAAGCCCCTTAAGTGCCCTAATATGGTTATAAGTGATATGTACAGTGGCAAGTACAGCTATAATTGGCTATGAAGTACCCTAAACCCTATAAACCCTAAACCCTAAACCCTAAACCTCCAAGTGCCTGGCTTCCCCATGCAACCACGGATCCATCCGCTTTGACAGCGGCGAACGCAGCCAGGGTGGCTTGGATGTGCTGCACCTGCTGTAGCTGACTCTGCACCTGGCAAGTGTCACCCTAAGCCCTAAACCCTAAACCCTAAACCCTAAACCCTGAGCCCTAAGCCCTAAGCACTAAGCCCTAAACCCTAAACCCTTTAACCCTAAGCCCTAAACCCTAAACCCTAAACCCCAAACCCCACCCCCAGCTGCGCACCTGGGAGCTGTCACCCCCAGCTGTGGGCTCCCCCCAGGTCACCACCGAGCCGTCTGCCCGAATGGCCGCAAAAGCTGACCAGGAAGCCGAGATCTGAGTCACGTCATGCAGCTGGTCTTGAACCGCGCCACCTTGGGTTTAGGGTTTAGGGTTTAGGGTTTAGGGTTTAGGGTTTAGGGTTTAGGGTTTAGGGCTCTGCGCCACCTTAATAGCCCCAGCCACCATCTGATAAATGAGGGGCACCCTTTGTGGGGGGTCTTTAGAATGGAACCTTGAACCAAAAAAAAGGCAAAAAGGGAACACTGGGCTACCAAGCAACTGTTGCCACCACACGAGTCAATTCCCCAGGTCACGACTGAGCCATCTGGCCGAAGTGAGGCGAACGCGAACTCCGCAGCTACGACGCCGGCCTCTTGAGCAATGGCGGTGATGGTGTCACCGTCCTGGATGCCAGTTTGCGCGAGGACATGAGGCCCCTTCAACACTGTGCCTGATGCAGCAACGAGCTTTCCCACAACCTTGCCCAGCTGTTTCTGGGCTTTTTGTCGCAATTGATCCACAGTTGCGTCATGGGGCAGGGTGACTGTTGCATGTGCACCACTCAGCAGGACCACACGAACAGTGCAGGACATGGCTGTGGAACGCAGAAAGGTTTAGCGTTGAGGGCATAGGGAGCCTGTAGTAAGGCACCATGCTGTGAGCATGCGCAAGACCTAAGCGCTCCACATCCACAACAAACATGGATGCTAAGAGACCACGTGGATCTTACAGCAAACGTCCGTGTTCCATCTATCTCAAGCTTCCTCAGCAAGCCTCTGTATTGCGGGCTTGTTACAGGGCTTGAACGGCTTCCCTAAACCCTAAACCCTAAACCCTAAACCCTAAACCCTAAACCCTAAACCCTAAACCCTAAACCCTAAACCCTAAACCCTAAAGGAAGTTCGGGACAAGCACTTTGAGTGTAATTTAGCCAAAAATTCCTTTCGTGCTCGCCGATCTTACTGCAGCCGTCTGCAAGGAGGGCACCTACAATCCAAACGAGGTAAAGCTGATCCGTGCCTAAGTCTCTGAGGACTCAGCAATGCGAAAGCCCTCAGCCCTAAGCCCTAAGCCCTAAGCCCTAAACCCTAGACCCTAAACCCTAAACCCTAAAGGGCAAGGCTTGGAATTTAGTGTCCGCACTCGCCCGCTTTCCCCCCCCCCCTCAAGGCCGCCGCAATCTCTGCGTGAAGCTCGTCTCAGTCACCGTCTGCATGCTTACATCGTAGAACAAGTCCGACACCTGCCCACAGGTGGGGTTTAGGGTTTAGTGTTTAGGGTTTAGGGTGTAGGGTTTGGGGTTTAGGGTTTAGGGTGTAGGGTGTAGGGTTTAGGGTTGGGGAGTACACCGCCTTTGGACCCTCAATGGGAATCTTTCCCCCATTCGCGGAAACACTCATATACCCCCCAAAACCTTCTATTGAAAAGCCCCCCCCCAAAAAAAAAACAAATAAATAAATAAATAAAATAAAAAATGAACTACCCCTATGTTTGGAAACCCTCGCCCCAAACTCTAAATCCCAAACTCTACGCCTCATCGTCCAAGCCGATGAGAAAGCGCTTATCCGTCGAGATCTGCCACGGGCTCAGCACGATCTTCGCGGTACCTGAGTTGTTTGGGTGTGGGGGCCTCTAAGCACCCGAATAGGGTAGTTTAGGGTTTAGGGTTTAGGGTTTAGGGTTTCGGGTTTAGGGCTTTGGGGTGTAGGGTTTAGGGGTTTAGGAAGCCTAGGCCCGAAGCTTGTACACCCTGAGCCCGAAGGGAAGAATCGCTTGACCTGAGGAGTCGATGAGCCCAGATGCTGATGGGAGCTTTCCTACTGGTGCTCGAAGAGACCAAGAAGGACTCAACCATACATCTAAGGGTAGCTATATGATCCCTTAATATGGCCCCTTACGTTCTTTAAGGGACCATATTCAGGGTCCGTGCAACTACCCTTAGAACACAATTTCCAAAAGAGACAGCAGAGTAGGTCAAAGAATTGGGCCCCCCATCGCGGAGACTGCAAGTGAACAACCACACCTCTAGAGCCAAGCCTACTTTGAAGCCTCAGACCCCAACAAACTAAACTAAAATCCACAAAGCCCAAAACCCTTGAAAGCAATAAGCCCTGGACCCTAAACCCGAAAACCCCAAACCCTAAACCCATGAACCGCGACAAACTCAAACCCACAAAGCCCAAAACCCTGGAACGCTAACCGAAACTTTCGAACTCTTGAAGCCCCAAAAACGCCAAAACCCCAACACATGAACCCAAACTACCCTTCGAACTCTTGAACCCCCAAAGCGCCAAAACTCAAAACTTCGAACCCCAGCTACTCAAAACCCTAACCCCTAAACCCAAACCCTTGAACCCGCCAAAACCCTGAAACCTCAAAAAACCTCGATTCCCCAAATCTCCAAAACACCCTTGAACCTCACAAGCCCTAAGCCCTGAACCCTGAACCCTACTCGGCTGCAGCTTGCTGTCCTGCAACCAAGATGAATCCCCAAACCCTAAACCCTAAACCCTGTAGACTTGAAGAAGGCTTAAGGACCCACGGTTGCCACCAAGAACCACATCTTCAACATTGATCCCTCAGGCTGACCCACAACCCTTTCAGGTTTAGGGTTTAGGGTTTAGGGTTTAGGGTTTAGGGTTTGGGGTTTAGGGTTTAGGGTTTAGGGTTTAGGTTGAAACCCTAAACTCTGAACGCCCTAGCCGTAAGGCTCAAAGCCCTAAACCCTCAACCTTAAGACTCTTAAGGCCTGAAATCCTCAATCCGAAAATCACCCTAAACCCTAAACCCTAAACCCCGAACCCCAAACCCTAAACCCTAAACCCTAAACCCTAAACCCTAAACCCTAAACCCTAAACCCTAAACCCTAAACCCTAAACCCTAAACCCTAAACCCTAAACCCTAAACCCTAAACCCTAAACCCTAAACCCTAAACCTAAACCCTAAACCCTAGACCCTAAACCCTAAACCCTAAACCCTAAACCCTGAACCCCACTTCGCGCCCCTTGCGCCGCGTGGCGATCGGCGTTCAGGCCCTGGAACTTGCTCACCTCAGGGGCTTGAGCGGTGCGCCCCTAAACTCCCTGAACTCCCGAACCCTAAACCCTAAACCCTAAACCCTAAGCCCTAAACCCTAAACCCTAAACCCTAAACCCTAAAACCGAAACCCCTAAAACCGAAACCCCTAAACCCTAAACCCTAAACCCTAAGAGCCCTCAGCCCTAAGCCCTAAGCCCCAAACCCTAAACAAAAGCCTTAAACTCCCTAAACGCCCCTGACTCCCTAAACTCCAACAAAAACCCTACTCACGGAGGATCGGGGCACTGAGTAAGTAGGGACATGAAAACCTTCATTGGGGTAAGAAGTCATTATAAGTGTCGTTACGTCACTCGTCATTTTCAATCCCCACTTACTAAGTCCCCTAAGCCTGTATGTAAGTCAGCCCCCCCCCCCCCCCACCCAAAAGGCCCTAAACCCTAAACCCTAAACCCTAAACCCGCTCTCCCGACCTCCAGGTTCGTGCTGTCGAATAACTCCGGGTCCTGGCTTCGAGCCGGGATTTACGGGCTTTGGGGTGTAGGGTTTAGGGTTTAGGGTTTAGGGTTTAGGGTTTGGGGTTTGGGGTTTGGGGTTTAGGGTTTAGGGTTTAGGGTTTCGGGTTTCGGGTTTCGGGTCTCGGGTCTAGGGTTTAGGGGTTCAACGCCATGACCTGCAGTGTCTGATTTGTGGAAGATCTTCTGTCTTTGGGCATTGACATCCGGGCCCGTTTTGCGTAAACCTCAATTGTCTTCGTAAACCCCCCATATATACTCGGCAGCATGTGGGAGTAGGTGGTGGGTATTTCATATCCCTTGATCCTAAACCCTAAACCCTAAACCCTAAACCCTAAACCCTAAACCCTAAACCCTAAACCCTAAACCCCTAAACCCCTAAACCCCTAAACCCTAAACTCTAAACCCTAAACCCTAAACCCTAAACCCTAAACCCCTGAGATCACCGAGCTTCAGTAGGACAGGCACACTGTGCTCCACCTAAGGGTGCCTGAGAGGCTTGGGGCTTCAAGGAATCTTCAGGTTGAGGCGAGGGTTTAGGGTTTAGGGTTTAGGGTTTAGGGTTTAGGGTTTAGGGTTTAGGGTTTAGGGTTTAGGGTTTAGGGTTTCGGGGCTTGGGGGTTTAGGGGAATTCTTGGCGAAGCGTGGGTTGCCCTACCTCTGAACATAGGGATCCTGCTGTTCTTTGTAACAGCGAAACGACGATTCCAGGGTTTAGGGTTTACGGTTTAGGGTTTAGGATTTGGGGTTTAGGGTTTAGGGTTTTGGGTCTAGGGTTTGGGTTCTGACTTTCAATGGCTGAGGGGCTGGTCCAAGCATCCTTTTGATACTTCAGGCCCATGCAGGTTGAGCAGTTCTCATGACCACAGATAGCAGATGTACATAGCTTTAGGGTTTACGGTTTAGGGTTTTGGGTTTGGGGTTTAGGGTTTACGTGTACTCTCTCAGATGTTCTGAACCTGTCATCAGCGACACTGCCAACAAACTTCGCCTTCGGCATCGAAGGGCATGTGCAACAGCTACGTCAAGCCGGATTCTTGAGCTGGCTTGGGCGTCAACGACTTAACTCCACATGTTAAGTGTCACATGCCTGCTTGCTCTTACCAACCCTAAACCCTAAACCCTAAACCCTAAACCCTGAACCCTGAACCCTGAACCCTAAACCCTAAACCCTAAACCCTAAACCCTAAACCCTAAACCCTAAACCCTAAACCCTAAACCCTAAACCCTACCACCGGCCTCACAGTTCTTCGCATGGTTTGCCATCTCCTCCACCATGACGGTGATCACCTCAGTCAGTAGGGCTTAGGGTTTGGGTTTTAGGGTTTAGGGTTCAGGGTTTCGGGTTCAGGGATTTTGCTTTAGGGTTTGGGTCTGAGGGCTTGTCAGCGCACTTTCAATCTGTTAAGGGTGCGATATTTGTGGCTTGAATCCCCAAAGCAAACATCGTCCTCAGGGCTTTCTTTGGACGCCGAAACCGTAGATATCGGGTATTGAACCCTTTTCCGTGTTCCCATCTGTTAAGGGTTGTTGAAAACTATTGGTGTTTTCTTTTTGTTCGGGCGGGGGTTATGTTTGAGGTTTAGGGTTTAGGGTTTAAAGCAGCTTCCCCACTCTGGGGTACCAAAATCCAGAGCAAGTTTCCCAGTTGATCCGATTCAAGCTTCAACGTTTGAGATCCCTCGCTTTGCAGCCTTTGTGTTTCTTCGGATAGTTTCACGGTCCTTTGAGTATGGGCCCTTGAAGGGAGCCCTTATAAACCCCTTGTGTACCCTTTACAACCCAAGGCCTCAGCAGCAACCCCAGTGCCTGAAGCCCCAAATCGGGTTCAGGGCTTAGGGTTCAGGCTTTCGGGTGAAAGAACACTTCAAGAACCCAGACTCCAAAGCAACAACAAGCTCCAAACCCCTTAGCTATCAGTGGAACTGTTCAAACTGCAGGAAGTCAGAGGAACAAGCTAGCCAAGTACATATAGGGGTTCAAGGGCTCAGGGTTGCAGGAATTGGGGGGATAAGGTCTGAAAACAGCACCCTTGACTTAGACTCGAGTAGACAAGATGAACAAGGTTCCAGGGTTTAGGGAAGTGGGGATGAAGTTCAGGGCTTATAACCCAATTGGTGAAAACGGACAGTGGCCAGCACAACCTAAACCCTGCGCACTCAACTTGCGGGACAGTTCCTAAAACCCAAATCCCTAAACCCTGAACCCCTAAACCCTAAACCCTAAACCCCTTAAACCCAAATCCCTAAACCCTAAACCCCCAAACCCAACCCTAAACCCAAACTCTGAACCCCAAAGCCCTAGGGTTCAGGGTTTTAGGGTTTTAGGGTTTAGGGTTTAGGGTTTAGGGTTTAGGGTTTGGGGTTCGGGGTTCGGGGTTTGGGGTTTGGGGTTTGGGGTTTGGGGCTTGGGGTTTAGGGTTCAGGGTTTGGGGTTTGGGGTTTGTAGTTTAGGATTTCGGGTTTAGGGTTTAGGGTTTAGGGTTTGCTGTAGTATGGAGCGGATGCTGCGAAGGTTAGGATGCAGAAAGAGGCTCGAAAGCTTCGTCAGGCGAGTCTGAACCCTAAACCCTAAATGCTAAACCCTAAACCCTAAACCCTAAACCCTAAACCCTAAACCCCCCAACCCAAACCGGAACAGGTTCCCCCACGCCGGCTTCGTCATCTGTCGAGGCGGGGAACCTGCCCAAGTTTTCAAGGCGATGGCCGGTTTAGGGTTTAGGGTTTAGGGTTTAGGGTTTAGGGTTTAGGGCTTAGGATTTAGGGTTTAGGGGGGGTTAGGGTTTAGGGGGTTTAGGGGTTAAGCTTTTTTGGTTTAGGGTTTACCTAGGGACATGACCCTATATGGACTATACATAACAAGGGCCCATACTTCGGACGCCTATAAAGAAAGGGTAAGGGGCCATACTGTAGGCCAGGGGTTGTCTCACTAGTCTAAACCCTGATGCGTTAGGGTTTAGGGTTTAGGGTTTAGGGTGTAGGGTTTAGGGTTTAGGGCTTAGGGTTGAGGGTTGAGGGTTTAGGGTTTAGCGTCTGGTGTTTAGGGTAGCTGCTTTAGTGTTTGGGTCAGTTTGAGATTCTCAGGCCTCAGTTCGTGTGGGTTTAGGGTTCAGGGCCAAAGGTCTTGCTCGAAAGGATCTGAGAGACGTCTGTGACTGCACAGGATCAAGCTGTTTTTTCGGGTCTTGTGATGTTCTAATAGGCACTAAGCCCTAAACCCTCCCTAAACCGTCCTAATTAGACGCTAAAAACCCTAAACAATGCAAGCCCTGAACCTCTACACCCCAAAAGGCCTCAACATCCTGTGCATCAACAACCCACCATAGCGAAGACAACTTTGCGGATGTGAAAAAACAGCAGCATCTCCAGGCACGAAGGTCTATATTGAAGAGTGTACTGCTCGGGGAATGTGAGGTGTATGTGTAAATGTATATGTATATATATATATATACATATATATACATTGTGCCAAGACCCTGAACCCTAAACCCTAAACCCTGAACCCTGAACCCGAAACTCTGAACCCTAAACCCTAAACCCTATAACCTAAGCCCTGAGAAATCCACAGAAGCACCCCCCCCCTGTACCCTAAACCCTAGACCCTAAACCCTAAACAAGGTGCTGGGATCTAAGCCGCGGACGCTTCCTCAGAAAGCTGGTACATCCTCGGTGCCCACAGCAACTCCGAGTAGCGGGGTTTAGGGTTTAGGGTTTAGGGGTTAGGGTTTCGGGTTTGTGGTTTAGGGTTTGTGGTTTGGGGTCTAGGGTTTAGGGTTTGTGGTTTGAGGTTTCGGTTTCGTGTTTAGGGTTTAGGGTTAGGGGTACTATAACCCCCATTAAGGACTGTTAGATAGAGGGGCAACATCCCACCCCAAACGTCAAACCCTAAACCCTCAACCACAACAACCTCTCCCAAAGCGAAACCCTTCAAGCAGCCCATGATTTTAGGCTTTGAGTTCTAGGGGGCTAGTGGCATGGGGTTTGGGGGTTTAGGGTAGAATGGGAGCAGCGACAGAGACTACTACACTCTGTCATCCCTACAAAGTGGCGATACCTCGAACTTATGGGTTTAGGCTTTAGAGTTTAGGGCGAGGTCTAGGGTTCTTAAGGGAGGGGGTTCAAGCGGGGTACGTAACCTAAGGTTCCACAATACTCCCCTATCCCTAAGGTTCTCTAGGCACCTACGCCCCATGAACCAAGGACCGAGTTCGTGAGTCGATCGGCCTTCAGGGACCCGAGGCCATGTCAGGCGTCGTGAGAACGGTTTGTGTTGAAAATTCGCCTTGCAAGTGTAGCAAACTTCCTGATTACCCAGCTTGTTTCCAGCTTCAAGGCTTTCTTGTGCCACTGCTGGTCTCCTTTCAGCCCTGCAACAGCGCGGAAGCCTGATGCCAGTTGCATTGGCGCTGCATCGATGGGATTTTCCCAAGCAACGAACGGGAAAGTGCACAAGCATTCCAGCTGTGCCAGCGACCAGACAACGTAGGAGTCGAGCCGACACCTCCAATCGGTGCCCGAGTTAAAGAGAGAGAGAGAGAGAGAGAGAGAGAGAGAGAGAGAGATGTGTATAAATAGATTTGTTGTATAAATACGTAAATTAATATATGTATATTTATATAAGTACATAAATTGTTTAGAAAGAACATGTGCTGAGTTCAACCCTGCGTCAGTCCTGTAACAAACCCCATGACAAAAAAAACTGAAACCTAAACCCTAGCCCTAAGCCGCAAACCCTAAGCCGCCTTCGGCTTACTTCTCCGTTTCTCATACCTACAAAGGGGTAAGGAAACCCAAAAGTTTTAAAGTTCAGCTTTTGAGAACCAGGATTGCGGGGTGGAAGGAGGGCTTAGGGCTTAGGGCTTAGGGCTTAGGGCTTAGGGCTTAGGGCTTAGGGCTTAGGGTTTAGGGTTTAGGGTTTAGGGTTTAGGGTTTAGGGTTTAGGGATGAATTGTCAGCCGAGGCGCTTCAACAGCTGCCGCATCGCCTGTCCCTGGCAGATGGCGGGCCATGGGGGCTGGGTTTAGGGTTTAGGGTTTAGGGTTTAGGGTTTAGGGTTTAGGGTTTAGGGTTTAGGGTTTAGGGTTTAGGGTTTAGTGTTTAGGGTTTAGGGACCAAGGATGGGTTCCCGAAGGTCTTAGGGTTGTTTCAAAATGGTCCCTTACCTCCTTTAACGAGATCTGATGTATGCTTAATTTGCATAGAGTATGTAAGGGGATAAGGAGTTAAGGAGTACCCCTTTAAGGGACCATACTAAGGGATCATGTAACTACCCTAAGATAAGGGTCCAGTATACTCCTTCTGTAGGAACCCCAAAAAAGGCCCCCCCCCCCCCCCCCCTATTTTCGGATCCCCCCCCCCCCCCCCCATATACTAATATGGGTACAGGGTAGAAGTAGGGGCAATCCGGTTTCAGGGTGTTATTGTGCTGGCCTTGAACCCTGAGCTCCAGATGCCAAAACCGATGCCCAGGGTTTGTGCGTTGAAAGGGTTTAGGGTTTAGGGTGTAGGGTTTAGGGGTATAGGCCTCCCCCCCCCCCCCCCCCCCCCCCCCCCCCCCTCCGAGAAATACATGCCCACCTATGCCCATATGCATCAGACATCGCCCCCAGCCATAGCCCTGGACCATGAACCCTGGGTTCACTCTCTGACACCGTCTCCATGTGAGTTTCAAGGGATTAAGACTCGTACCCCTAAGACCCATCCCAAACGGCTCCTCCTACTCCTAACATGGCCCGTATACTACCTAAAGGATCTCAAAAAAGGGCCAAAACCCAAGCGAAACAAACTTCAGCGTCCAAGATACAACCCCTAGAGTGTAGAGTGTTGCTAGTGCCAACTCCAGAAAAATTAGGCCTCTTGGTCTGTGTTTGTTGGGCTTGGGGTCTGAGATGTAGGGATTAGGGTTTAGGGTTTCGGGTTTGGGGTCTAGGACCTGGCCCAACCCCGCCTCCCCTCCCTCTCCCCCTCCCTTTTCCCTCCGTGGTGCAAAAAACATCATACATATATCTACTGCAGCTACGCATGCTAAAACAAGGAGATGAGACAAAACCCTAAACCTATAACCCTATAACCCTATAACGCTGTAACGCTGTAACCCTCTAACCCTCTAACCCTCTAACCCTCTAACCCTATAACCCTCTAACCCTATAACCCTATAACCCTATAACCCTCTAACCCTATAACCCTATAACCCTATATAAGCCGTTCACCCTAGAACCCTACAAAGAAACTCAACCGCTGAGTCCCCCGACCAGGCTCAGGCTCTTGTTCTGAAAGGCGTTGCACATCAGGTTCGGCGAGTGCATCCTCGTGGCCGCCGGTCACAGCAGAAACAGGCTCGGCTTTTGTGTTTTTATATATATTTTTATCTTTTTTTTTACTCTGTTTTCTTTATTATTTATTTATTTTTGTTTTTTAGGGGGGGGGGGGGCGGGGTGTTCTTAAAAGGCTTCAGAGAGCTGTAGGGCGTTTTTTTGGGAGGGTTTCAGGGTTGAGGGTTTAGGGCTTGGAAGTTCTTCGTAGCTTTAGAGAGTTTGGGCAAGGTTTTAGGGCTGCGGGGTTTCAACCTTAAACCCTAAACCCTAATCAAACCCTAAACCGTTTAAACCCTAAACCGCAGCTTTGGTAAACCCTAAACCCTAAACCCTCAACCCTAAACCCTAAACCCTGGGGTGTTGAAGGCCGGGTGTTTTGCTTTGACACGTTCGTTCTGTTCGTTCTTCCTTGTTCGCATCCAATGCTCTATGGCTCCCTCGAACAAACGAGCACTAACTCCTGCTTGAGATCCTCGGGGGCCAAATGAACCCTAAAGGGGCTTACAGTCCATATCTCTGGACCGGGATTATAGTAGTATAGGGTATAAGACCCCAATTTTCGGGTCCATGTGGTCCCCAAGGATTGCTCTTCCTTCAGTGCAAGCGCCATCGCTGGAGGTTAAACCACTCGGCATGTCCAGGTTGCCCCCGTTCCATCGAAGGACCATATCTAGACCCAAGAGGAATCTAGGAAAAAACGCAGGGGGCATATACCCCTTGTGGTTTAGAGGGGCTTGTGAACCCTGAAAGCAAGGGAATACACCCGAAACCATAACCCTAAACCCTAAACGCTAATCCCTGACAAAAAAGAAGGGAACAAGGGCCTCCTCTGGGTCCTAGCTACGTCAAGTAATTTTGAGGAGGAACTATCCACCTGCACCACTCGAAGGCCGTCCGAGCCTGAACACTCTTGGGCCTGGAGTTTAGGGTTTAGGGTTTAGGGTTTAGGGTTTAGGGTTTAGGGTTTAGGGTTTAGGGTTTAGGGTTTAGGGTTTAGGGTTTAGGGTTTAGGGTAACCCTCGGCCCCCTGAGGGCCCAGGCAGCAGAAAGCCTCTCTTGACCACGCCATCCGCGTTCAGAAAGCTCGTCAGCTCCTGGCATGGCGCAGAGTTCGCTGGGTTCCGGGTTTACGCTTAAGGGCTTAGTCGCGACCCCGATGCATAGGCCCTGCAAATGTGTGCCCTCTACCCGAAGTCTGAAACCGTACGCACTTTAGCGGTTGAAGGCTTCTAGGGTTTGAGAAGTTTAGGCCTTATCCTCAAATCTAACAATTCCAAAAAGCCTTTGCCATTGAAGCTTCGGGTGAGCGGAGTTTCGGGTCTAGGGTTTCGGGTTTGGCAGTGTGGGGCGGAGGGGGGGGGGGGGGGGGGGGGGGGGGGGGAGGGGAGGGCAGCATTTCACCAAGCACAGAGACCCTAAACCCCAAACCCCAAACCCCAAACCCTAAACCCCAAACCCTAAACACCCAAGCCTCAGCCGCACCTGAACATTCCAGGGACAAGATCCTGAAGACACAACGCCCAATGCCTCTTGGGTGGACCTCTTCGGGTGCTAATAGCGGTTTCTAGGAGTTTCTATTGGTTTAGGGTTTAGGGTTTAGGGTTCAGGGTTCAGGGTTGAGGTGGTCTCCCAGTTTCGTTATCCCACAATCATGCATGACATTTCAAAACTGATGTATCAAGTGGCCTTTTGTCCTTGTATGCAACCCATCCAGGGGTTAGGACTCGTACCCTTCATGGTTGTACCCTACAAGGTTCTCCCAAGACGGCCCTTATATTCCCTTGGAGCCTTGGAGGACCTGACAACATGGCCCCCAAACCCAAGGGTACCACCTTAGAGGACCAAGGTAGAGAGCATCCTCTTAAGGCGTTCCTGTCACCCAATAACACAGCAAAAGAGCTGGACCCGCCCGAAAACCCTAGAAGCACCCTGAACCCTGAGCCCTAAAACCCAAATAACCCCCTCCCAAAACATCCTCGGACCCTACTGAGTTGCTGAGTTCATAAGCCCCAGAAAAGTGTACACTTTCAGTTCTACAGGGGATGGTAGTACTAAGCCTCAAACCTGGCAGCCCAAAGCCTCAAATAGCTCCCTGCCCCCCCCCCCCCCCCTCCCCCCGGTTCAGGACCAAATGAACCCTAAAATTGGGGTCGTCATTTGCCCTACACTACGATAATCCCTATGGATTTATATGGACCATAAACCCTTACCCCGAAGGCCAATACCCTAACCCCTAAACCCCTAAACCCTTTTAGGGGTCATTTGGGCCCCAAGAAACCTGAATGCCGAAAAAGCCTCAAATCACTCCCCCTTTAGGGTTTAGGGGTTTAGGGTCGAGGATTTAGGGTTTAGGGCTCATGGTCCATATACCTTCATGGGAGGTTGTCAAAATTATGGTCCCTTTTAGGTGCAGCACTATAAAAGGGATACAAAAAGGGACCCTGACTTGGACAGCCACCCTCATAGGGATTGTAGTACCCTAAACCCTAAACCCTAAACCCTAAACCCTAAACCCTAAACCCTAAACCCTAAACCCTAAACCCTAAACCCAATGTTAGGGTTCTCTTGGTCCCCAAGGCACCCGCAAATTCGGGGCGCGCGCCTTCCGGACGTCCGGGGCGAGCGACATGAAGGCGTCGCAGACCTTCGTGCATGTTTTTCGGGGTTTGGGCTTCGGGGGTTTAGGGTTTACAAGGTGGGCCATATCGATTATCGTACTTGTAACTTCTTATATCTAAGTAACGGAACTTATAAGTACTTATAAGTAAGATATCACAGCGGAGGTTTGAACCCGAAAATCAGCCAAAATAACTTCAAAATAACTTCGTAGTAACAGTAGCGTTTTTGTCAGACACTGTTGTATTGTTTGCGTGCATACATACATACATACATATACATACATATACATACATATACATACATATACATACATATACATACATATACATACATATACATACATATACATACATATACATACATATACATACATATACATACATATACATACATATACATACATATACATACATATACATACATATACATACATACACATACATACATACATACATACATACATACATACATACATACATACATACATACATACATACATACATACATGTATATATGTATATATACATATGGTTTTCACCTACAAACAAACACACAAGCGCAAGCGCAAGCGCAAGCGCAAGCGCAAGCGCAAGCGCAAGCACAAGCACAAGCACAAGCACAAGCACACACACACACACACACACACACACACACACACACACACACACACACACACACACACACACACACACACACACACACACACACACACGCACAAGAAGGGAAACTCCGGAATTTGGTCTTTTTGCATGAATCTATATATATATATATATATATAATCCAGAATCTTTAAAGCCGCGCGCAGCCGCGCACATCCGCGCACATCCGCGCACATTCGCATTTCCAGGGCATCGCATGCCCGCGCACATCCGCGCACATTTCATTTCCGCAGTTGAAAGGGTCGCGCACATTTTCTTCATGACATTTTTATTGCGCGCACATTCATTGCTTTCCCGAATCCTCCGTCCGCGCATGCCCGCGCACATTCCGCGCACATGCCATCCGGACATCTGTTTTGGTCCGCGCACATTTGCGCACATTCCTGGGCTGCCATTTTTTGCGCACCAGCACGTTTTTTCTTCCAGTTTGAAAAAGGATTTTCGGCATATATACGGTATGTAGCAGCGGCGCGACCGCCAAGCTGAAAGCTGCGGAGCACCCGCTGTGCATGGAGATATGCGGCCCGACCGCCCACGTTTTCTATATCCTGGTACTATTCTATATATGGTTTCGGGGTTTATATATTGCAAAGCACCGGCGGTCTTTTTTTCTGGGCCTCCCCCCCCCCCCCCCCCCCCACCCAATAAACAAGACAAAACGACTTCAGACTGATGTCTGCCGTTGTCCTGTTTGCTCATGTTTCAAAACAGACCTCAGTCAAAAACATAAAAAAATCCCTGTTTTTAACTGCGAAAGAAGTTCTGGGTAAGTCATACGACGGTTTGACCTGTTGGAACTTATATGTAAGTTATAACTCAGCCCTAAACATATAACTATCATATAACGTGTGGACAAGTATGACAGAGTTATCAAACATACAACTTCAGATAACCCAAGTTACAACATGAGTTAACCCAACTTATAACAAGCCTAACTTGATACGGCCCACCTTGTAGGGTTTAGGGTTTAGGGTTTAGGGTTTAGGGTTTAGGGTTTAGGGTTTAGGGTTTAGGGTTTGGGATTTAGGGTTTAGGGTGTAGGGTTTAGGGTTTAGGGGGCGGTAGGGTTTGGAGTTTCGTGTGTGGGGGCTCGTCTCAGGGGGTTTGGGGCGTTGAAGGCTTTGCGGGGGCTGTGAAACTGTGGGGGTTTAGGGTTTAGGGTTTCCCGAGTTTACTGGCCGTCTCCGACTTGTAGACACCCCTAAACCCTAAACCCTAAACCCTGAACCCTAAACCCTAAGCCCTAAACCCTTAAACCCTTAAACCCTTAAACCCTGAACCCTAATTGAGGGCTTAGGGTAGGGTCTAGGGCCAGGTACACGGAGGGGCATCTTTTCGACCTCCCTTCACTCTTTCCGGCGACGTTTCGCTTGCCATCCTTGGATTACCCCGGGAAGCCAGGTGTCACCCTTTGAGGAACTGACACAGGGTTAGGGATTAGGGTTTAGCGTTTAGGGTTTAGGCCTTAGGGCTTAGGGCTTAGGGTTTAGCGTTTAGGGTTTCTTCTTCTTCTTCTTCTTCTTTTTTTCTTCTTCTTATTATTCTTCTTCTTCATACCGTGACTCGCCATTGTCCCAATGTTCCCAATGGGGCCGCTGGACCATACCAGCCTCCATCGTCCAGGACTGCCCTGGTGCGGGCTCGGCTCCCAGAGCTGCTTGAGCTAGACGAGCTGGAAGACGAGTTTGTCGCCCAATTCCCGGGCTTGCCGCTGTACGTTGTTCGGGTCGCACACCCAAGCCCACCCATTCGGGCTTGAGAGTTTTGGGGGTTTTAGGGTGTTCGGGTTTAAGGGCTCAGGATTCTGCAGCCTGAAAGCTTGGCCACGCGGACGTGTAGGATCTCTGTACGATTCACCATGGAACCTTGTAAGGAAGACCTGACACCTATAGCTATCAGAGAGTGGGCCAAAGAGAGAAACAAGTCTAACACCGCGAGTAACTTTCTGTCAGCCCTGAATGCCAGAGTGAGTACCCGAGTAGAACAAAAAAACACCTCAGCCCTGAACCTTCCGAAATTTTACACTTAACACCCTGAAACCCTGAACCTTAAAATTCGAAAGCCCTAAACGCTTCAACCCTGTGTAGTGTGCCAAGTTAAACCCTAACGCTAAACCCAACTGGAGAGCCCCGAACTCTAAAACCTACACCCTACTGAAGCAAGCCTAAACCCCAGAAGTCTGAAGCTCGAACAACAAGTAAAGATCTTAGAGCCCTAAACCCTAAACCCTAAACCCTAAACCGTACACCCTAGAGCCTGACACCCCTAAAGTCCACAACAGCTGTGATTGAAAACGAAACAAACATCAAATTCAAAAGCCCTGAACAGTCCAGACGCCCTAGGTGCTGGGAGTAAGATATGAATGCTACGGAGACTCACCATCATCATGGCTTTAGAAAAGAAATATTCCTGAATCCTGGAACCCGAGAATCTTTGTGACGCCAGCCTAGACCCTAAACCCTAAACCCTATAAACCCTGCACCCTAAACCCTAAACCCTAAACCCTGAACCCTGAACCCTCCACCCTAAACCCGTAACCCTAAACCCTACATCCCTGAACCACTGGGGCCCCCCTCCAAGCTGCCCTTCTCCTTCTCGAAGACCCGCGTGAGGCAGCTGAGGCGGACGATGGCCTTCTGCCTGGACATTTGAGGGTTGAGGGACCCTAAACCCTAAACCCCAAAACCCCACACCCTGAGCCCTAAATCCTACAGCCTAAACCCGAAACCCTAAGCCCCAAACCCTAAATCCTAAGCCCTAAATCCTAAACCCTAAACCCTAAACCTTAGGGTTTAGGGCTTAGGGCTTTGGATGCGGCCTTTTCGGACTTCGCTTGGCTGACTTTTGAAACCCCCCTTTAAAAACAACCATTTAGACTCCTTATTGTCGTTTCTACAAAAACCCAAAAGGTAACCCCAAAGCCTACACCCTAAACCCTAAACCCGAAACCCTAAACCCTAAACCCTAAACCCTAAACCCTAAACCCTAAACCCTAAACCCTAAACCCTAACCCAGAACCCTAAACCCTCAACCCTAGACTTTAGACTTTAGGGCTCAGGGCTTTGGATGCTGCAGGTCTCGGACATCGGTCTGTGTTTTTCTGGCCCGGAGCCATGGGCCTTTCAGGGTCGCAGTTTTCGTACGTGCCTCTTGCTTGAGGGTACCCGAAACCCGGGTTTAGGGTTTAGGGTTTAGGGTTTAGGGTTTAGGGTTTAGGGTTTAGGGTTTAGGGTTTAGGGTTTAGGGTTTAGGGTTTTGAAACACTCCCCCCAAGCAGGCTGCGCTAGGTGGGGCTTGAGGCTTAGGGTTTAAGGGTCGACGCTGCTTGAAGTGACGTGTGGGCACTTTATGTAGGGTGTAGGGGTTTAAGGTTTAGGGTTTAGTGTTTAGTTGAAACTCATTCGATCACTCTTTAAGGAACCTATCATCAGGCGCCCTAATTAAACTCTAAACCCTACATATAACTTACAACCCCATGCTTCAAGTCTTAGATTCTTTTGGTTATTCCCTTGGGTTTTACATCATAAGCCAGCCCTAAAGCCTGAACCTTAAAACCCTAAACCCTAAGCCCTAAACCCTAAACCCTAAACCCTAAACCCTAAACCATAAACCCCAACTCTTAGGGTTTCAGACAGCAGCAGAGTTGAAGTGCCAGGCCGCCACGACACCGAGGCTGCCAGCTTTCCGCAGAATCTAAAGACCCCAATTAAACCCCACAACCTTAAACCCTAAACCCTAAACCCTAAACCCGAATGTGTACTGAACTTGGAACCCTAGCAAAGCTGAATAACTGTTAGCTGCTTCTCGGGAATTGTAGTGACCCTAAACCCTAAACCCTAAACCCTAAACCCTAAACCCTAAACCCTAAACCCTAAACCCTAAACCCTAAACCCTAAACCCTAAACCAAATTCAAAAAGCATTCCCAAGCATCCTGAAGCAATGTTTGTCCCGGAGGCATCTGAGAGGTTGGCTCCGCACCGTAAAGCCCCGAACCCTGAACAGAAGCCGGGCCTGGGTTTAGGGTTTTAGGGTTTTAGGGTTTTAGGGTTTAGGGTTTAGGGTTTAGGGTTTAGGGTTTAGGGTTTAGGGTTTAGGGTTTAGGGTTTAGGGTTTAGGGTTTAGGGTTTAGGGGTTTAGCAAATATCCGTGTTTGATTTGGGTTTTCGGCTTTAGGGGCCCATGAAAGTGGAAACATATGTTCCAACCAGCCCGAGTAAGCCCGAACCCTTCCAAGGCCAAAACCCTTGTAGACCATGTAGACCCTCAACCCTTATTAAGCCCTAAACCCGTTTATAGAAATACATATGGATATATATGTATAGGGTACATATCAACACACACACAAACACA